GTAAACCGCTTAGAGAGGGCTGAAAACCCTATGAAGCGGTATATAAGTCTAACTGCTAACTAACTAAGTAGAGCAGCTGGGGGCGGGGGAGAATCAGCTGCGCTGCACGATTGAGATGAGCTAGAAAGCAGGAAATAAAGGACAGGATAGAGCAGGGACAGGTGGGAGGATCCAGCTGATTGTCGGAGCTAGAACCCCACCCTTGGTCTTCTGGGCTGCTCTGATCAGAAGGGCTTCTCTTCAAAATCTATCTCCAGTTTGTTGTGGGAGTAATTTAATGGCTTAAAATGGGAACGTGGTGAGCTCACAAGGTGAGGACACTGGGTTGATTAGCAAGCCCGCGTTCGAGACCCGAGTGCTGCTGTGTGGAAGAGTGAGTTCCCATCATTTGCTCCGGCCAAGCTAGCAGTATAAGGGAGCAATCACAAGTAGATAAATAGGTACCACTTTGGTGGGTACATTAACAGGGACATGGAAGGAGCCCTCAACCGGAGGTCCCCCCGGGGCAGTGGTGATGTCACCAATAAGCCTTTCAACCTGGAAGCATAATAGGTGCTTCCGTCACAAACAGGAGTGAATGGCTTATAATCCAGAACCCCCTAAAGAGTTGCATAAAGAGTAAAAAAAAAAGTTTTGATGAAAAGTGAATGAGCCATTCTTGTTCCACCTGTTATTTATTCTTTGAAAAAAAAAATGATTCATCTGGCCTTTCAAAAGCTTTTACAACCAAATCAACAGTTCCGGGCAATAATTGCGACAATATGAAATAAATTCATAGATCCCCATTCACCTCCTGCAAGTCTCCAGGCCCGCATTTTATAGAAAGGTTCATTTCAAAGGATGGGACTTCGGAAGGGGACATGAGCTCATTTTAATCCACTATTTGGAATTAAAATGTTGTTCTGTCTCTGGAAAGAGAGATTGGCACATGACTTTACTGAACTGACACACTATCCGAGCCCCTAAAACATGGGTGTCAAATTCGATTTCCTTGAGGGCCGCATCAGGGTTGTGTTTGACTTTGGGGGCCGGGATGGGTATGGCCAGGGGGCATAGCCAGCTTGACATCATTTGTGTCAGGGGCGCCTGTGATGGCCCCGAGTGCTCTGCCAACGAAAATGGGCTCCAGAGCTCCGTTTCCAGCTGCAACGGCCTCCTGCAATCCTCTGCCAGGGAAAATGGAGTCTCTCTGTTTTCCCTGGCAGAGGCAACAGGGGTGGGATTCAGCTGGTTCGGACCAGTTTGGCGAACTGATAGCTCCAATGATCAGCTGAGAGTGAACCAATTCACTCCAATGATCAGGTGGACCCGCTCGCCTGTCTGGCAGGATCCCACCACTGCACCGCGGTCTGGTCTTTTGCTATTTCCAGGGCAACCCATGGCCCAGATCTAAGCACCCCATGGGCCGGATCTGGCCCACGGGCCTTGAGTTCGACACCCCTGCCCTAAAATATGTCTGTAGGAAGCTGCAGAAAGGAAACCATCCTTTTGAACACCGGAGGGAAAGCATTGAGCAGAGGGCAAAGGCAGGGTGGATTGTTTGGAAAATTTGCAAGATCCAAAGACCAAACTAGGAATCGGGAGCATCTTTAAAGATTGAAGTCAGAAATGGTGGCTGCCACAGCTGAATCGAATCTTTGCTGGATGCAGATAACAAAGAGGTGGAGTTTTGATCACTTTTGCAGCCACCATTTTGATTTTTTGGACCTTCGGTGATCTCCTGGTAAGTTTTTCCTGCAGTAATCTAGAAGAAGAAGAAGGAAGGAAGGAAGGAAGGAAGGAAGGAAGGAAGGAAGGAAGGAAGGAAGGAAGGAAGGAAGGAAGGATTGTGGGAGTTGAAGTCCACATATCTTTAAGTTGCCAGAGTTGAAAAACATGGCCATAGGCATAGATGATGTTAGGAAGCCATTTTTCCCTGTCAAATAAAGCCAGGATGTGATAGTAGTTTGCACCATTGTGAAGACACTTACCTGTAGAGCGGAGTGGGGAAGTTAGTTTCTAAGGTGTTAAGAGGGACATATGGACGATTTAATACCAAATCCCGGTGCGACAAGTCATGGAAATCCATTGCAAGCCTGTGATGTCCCCTCCTGCAGCCCAGGCCAGCTTAAGAGAGTTTCCCTTTGGCTGGAGGCAAGAGAAAGATGAGTCACATCATTGTTTGACTTACACACCTCCTGGCAACCATCTCCTTAGCAACCGGTGCAGCAACAGGGGAGACAATGAACGATGGAGTATGTTAGGTCCAAAGGACCGGAAGGGGGAGGAAAGGTAATAGTAAAAGAAGGCCCTGATCAGGAAAAGCCCCCAATTTGTACAGAAGAGAAGAAGGGACAGAGTCCTTCTTCCCTTTCTCCCTGCGGGTGTTGTTTGCAATAGGGTTGGCTGTATTCATACATTTTGGGGGGGTCTTGGAGTGATATTATGAGAAATGGTGGAAGCTGGGAAAGGAAGGGAAGAGAGCATAGGCACCAAGAAACACGGAATCATTCTAAAAGATTCTGCTCAATTAACAACCTATCAATATGGGTCGGAAATTCTTCTTACAAGAGTGGGTTTTTAAAAAAAACTTTGGCAACTTTAAGATACAAGGACTTCAGCTCCCAGAATTCCCCAGCCAGGGAATGGCCAGTGGCCAAGGGGTTGAGATGGAGAGAGGTTCCCTTTCTGATAACATTCCCTGCCCATGAAGCAAATATTGCTGAAAAATAAATTATTAAATTAAATGGAAGACTTCAGCACCTCTCCATCAGTAATCAGATCAGCATAGATCAGTGATGGCAAAACCTTTTGGCACTGAGTGCCCAAACCAGAATGTGCGTGCATATGTGCATATGTGTGCTGGAGCGCCAAAGACCAGTTGGTGCGCATGCCTGGTTTTTGGCCGTTTTTGGTTGTTTTGGAGCCATTTTCAGGCTGTTTTTAGGGCTGTTTTCGGGCCATTATTCGGGCCAAAACCAGCCCAAAAATGGCCCGGAAAACGACCTGTTTTTTTGTCTAGTTTTGGGGGCGTTTTCCGGTGCCCACAAAAACCACCTGGCCGGCGTGCATCTGCGCACTAGAAACCAGAAGAGCAACTGGTGACAGCATTCATGCCGAGAAAGGCTCTGCCTGCCACCTCTCTAGCATCCATGCCATAGGTTCACCATCACAGTCGTACACCATTTCTGACAGCTGGCAGTCCAATCTCTTCTGGAAAGCTTCCAGTGATGAAGCTCCCATAACTTCTGAAGGCGACGTCTGCTCCATGGGTTGATTGTGCTCACTGTCAGAAAACTTCTCCTTATTTCCAGGTTGAATCTCTCCTTGGTCAGTTTTCATCCATTATTCCTTGCATGGACTTTGGGTGCTTGGAAAATAGCTTGACCCTGTCTTTGTGGCAGCCCCTCAAATATTGGAAGACTGCTATAATGTTGCCTCTGGTCCTTCTCTAGCCCAGTTCCTGCAATTGTTCAGCATATATTTTAGCCTCCAATCCCCTAACCTGCTTTGTTGCTCTTCTCTGCACTCTTTCTAGAGTAGGGGGTCCCCAAACTTGGCAACTTTAAGACTTGTGGACTTCAACTCCCAGAATTCTCCAGCCAGCTCTTAAAGTTGCCAAGTTTGAAGACCTCTGTTCTAGACTCTCCTCATCTTTTTTATAGCGTGGTGTATGTAATGGAAATAGCAATGAAATAAAAAATGAGTTAGTTTCATTTGAAGTGTGATTGAACTCTAGTCAACAACACTTTTCATGACACCTTAAATAAATCTCCAAACTGGATCCAAGAGAAAAGCTTTAAAAGGACCAGTTTTGATTGATGGTTAAGGCACTGGGCTACAAACAGAGAGACAAAGATTCTAATCCCGGTGAACTTGAGCCAGTCACCATCTCTTAGACTTAGGAAGAGGCAATGGCAAATCATATCCAAAATCCTACCAAGAAAACTGCAGGGATTAGTCCAGGCAGCTCCCAGCAGAGGTGAGTTCCTACCGGTTCGGACCAGTTCGGCCGAGTAGGTAGTAACTTGGCTGGCCATGCCCCCAAACTGGTTCTATCGGCGGCACCATAAATGCCACCATTTTGTTTTTTGCTTCTGCGCATGTGCTGAAGCAATTTCTTCACTACTGTGCATATATGTGTAGCGCGCATCAATCATGCGCGCACGCAAAGCACGTCCCTGAGTAAACCAGGAGTAAAAGAAGCCGGAACCCACCCCTGGTTCCCGGAATCAATACTGATTCAAAGGCATGAAAAACAGACCAAGAAAGATTTAAGCACTTTTGCTGCAGGCAATGCGGAGCACGGAAAGATAAGTTTGAGCACGGAGTAGCATTGAGGTGCATACCTGAATTTAGTACACAGATCATCCTAAATTCTAAGACAGTTTTGGTTTTGAGATAGTTAACAGTAGCAATGGATACATCATTGGACGATTGAAGCATTGGTTGGAGACAGATTTTTCAGGAGGAAATCTATCTTATGTGGTTGCTGAAAACCAGCAATTGATGGTAGATAAGTAATAAAACCAGGGACGCGGTGGCTCACTGGCTGAGAGACTGAGCTTGTCAGTCAGAAGGTTGGCAATTCAGCGGTTTGAATCCCTAGCGCCGCGTAACAGAGTGAGCTCCGGTTACTTGTCTCAGCTTCTGCCAACCTAGCAGTTCGAAAGCACATAAAAATGCAAGTAGGAAATAGGAACCACCTTTGGTGGGAAGGTAACAGCGTTCTGTGCACCTTCGGCGTTTAGTCATGCTGGCCACATGACCACGGAGACATCTTCGGACAGCGCTGGCTCTTTGGCTTTGAAACAGAGATGAGCACTGCTACCTAGAGTCATGAATGACTAGCACGCATGTGCAGGGGAACCTAAGTAATAAATCTAGATGTTTGGCATAATATGTTATGAGCCTGTTCAACGCTGCACGTGTGCTATGGTTTATGATTTATTGTCGGAGAAACCCAGATGTTTTAAGGTTTGTTCAACAACTTACGGTTTAAGCATTTTGTGGATGCTTTGCTATCCAACCTGGTTAACACATTGGGCTAAATGAGTTAACTGTCAGGTGTGCTTGGAATGTGGTCCTCCCCCTTTCCTCACCATGGCAACTTATACAAACATGCCAATGCTTTATGAGTTGACATTAACTATGATTAAACAACTACAATGGCTAAGGTCAAACACAGCATGAAAAACAACAGCAAACAGATGATATTATGGCAAGAATGCAATGTGTGAAATCAGTGTCTATGAGGGTACTCAAAGATTCGATGACAGATTGTTTGCTTCTATTAATAGAAGCTTGAAATGGTTTCTATAGCAACTAAAAGCAATCCGCTGCACATTTAACATTTTGAGATGATTGCAACAAATGAACTTTTCATTTTCCACGTTAAGTTTAATAGAATCAACTTTATTTCATCCCTTATTTCATCTAGTGTTTTGCCAATTTTTTAAATCATTTTTTTTTAAAAACCTATAATTTGCTAAGTCTCAATGGCTGAATACTCACAATACACGGTAAGCCTTAAACTATGGATTGTAAACTACCAATGAAAGCCACAGATATTGTACGAGGATGTAGCCCAGCTTGGTTTGGGCTGAACCATGTTTTGTGTAAACAGAGGCACCATAACTAAAGATCAGAAAGCCCGACCTATCTAAAACTGTACAGTGTCTAAAACAAGGAAATTCTTTGGGATTATACTCCTCAGCACCAAGGTCAGAATAAAATAACAGAGTTGGAAGGGACCTTGGAGGTCTTCTAGTCCAACCCCCTGTTCAAGCAGGAGACCTTATACCACTCCAGACAAATGGTTGTCCAATCTCTTCTTAGAAACCTCCAGTGATGGAGCAACCCGCAACGTCTGGAGGCAAGTTGTTCCACTGATTTATTGTTCTAACCTTCAGGAAATTTCTCCTTAGTTCTAGGTTGGGTCTCTCCTTTATTAGTTTCCATCCATTGCTTCTTGTTCTCCCCTCAGGTGCTTTGGACAATAGATTGACACCCCCCCCCCCTTTTCTTTGGGGCAGCCCCTGAGCCGAGGTGGCGCAGTGGTTAAATGCAGCACCGCAGGCTACTTCAGCTGACTGCAGTTCGGCTGTTCAAATCTCACCGGCTCAGGGTTGACTCAGCCTTCCATCCTTCCGAGGTGGGTAAAATGAGGACCCGGATTGTTGTTGGGGGCAATATGCTGACTCTGTAAACCGCTTAGAGGAGGGCTGAAAGCCCTATGAAGCGGTATATAAGTCTAACTGCTATTGCTATAATGAAACACTGCTATCATGTCACCCCAGGACCTTCTTTTCATCAGACTAGACATACCCAGTTCCTGCAACCATTCCTCATATGTTTCAGCCTCCAGTTCCCTGAACAGAAGTGGGGGGAAACATTCAATGAAAACACTTCCATGTCCCATATTCATTAATCAGCTGAAGCTAAGCCTAGAGACATTCCAGCAGTCCTGAATCGTATCTGTGATAAACAGATCTAGTAAGCAGTGAAAGTGAAATGGAAAATGAAATTGTAATACAGGTAGCCCTTGACTTACAACCATTCATTTAGTGGCCATTCGAAGTTACAACAGCACTGAAAAATGTGACATGATGGGTCCCCATACCTACAACTATTGCACCCCCACATTCACAGGATCAAAATTCAGGTACTTGACAACCGGCATATATATTTATGATGGTTACAGTATCCTGGGGTTATGTGATTGCCATTCGCCATCTTCCCAAGGGCCAAGGTTGAGAAACGCTACACTCGTTGTACACCGTCCACCATGACAAAGGGAGAAACATGATTCTTTTCTAAGCAATGACAAGCAGGCAAATCTTAGGATACGGATGGACTAAAATACCAGCCATCTTCTTTCCACCTTGTTTTGTTTTAATTGTGCAGCAACTCTTCCATTTAGAAATGTCTATTGTCATCGTCCAGGTAGGACAAGGTTGTCCCCACAGTGCTTTTTCAAAATTTTCAGCATTTGTCATAGTTCATTCCTCCTGGAAGAGACTGCTGCTCAGTTGCCCTTGGATTTTAGCATGCCTAACTTTTGGTATCATCTGCCCGAACAATTCTGGAGAATTTAAAAACTTTCCCTCTTTTATGCCATTTTAATATAAATGTGTGACCCAATGAAGGACAGTGTCAGCCCTGAAACTGTTTTGAAGATCTTCAGGGGTATCACAGCAAGGCCGGTTGCAGCTGTGGGAACGTGAAGGGGGAGATAGAGATAGTTGTGGGGGGGGGGAAGTGTAGCCAAAATAACAATCTTTCCCATGGGAGCCAAGGACGTCCCCACCAGGTGCTTGGAAGGCATGGACCAAAGGCAGCCAAAGGAGGACTGAGACTTGATTAGACAATGTGATGGATGTGTGACCTGGAGGGCATGAACTTTGGGTTTTGATTTGGGTGGGGAAAACTTTGGGTCCTTCAGAATCGGGTTTTCACCAGTTGTGCCAAGATGGCATTCCTAATAAAATTTTACTTTGAGGAAACTCCAGGCCTCAGAGCTTTGATTTCATAGGGTCTGTTACTTGGAACCCTGACAGACACGGCATTTTAGAATGTAACCCTGTTTTGAAAAATATCAGACACTTGACAAATAAATTGTTCTATTCACAAGTCTTTAATGCCAGATACATTAACTTTACACATGAAGCTATACACTTTTTTTTGCACCATACCCCACACATCCTGTGGCCCCTTATGTGACGCACCGCATACATAAGAATGCCACACGTTCACACAAAACAGAAACACCCCATTCCAAAAAGAATTTTTCAGATACTTCTGGCCAAAAGATAATACATAAAGAAATACAATTCATGGAACTTGGTTTTTTTTTTAATCCTCTTACGTGGATTTTTGTTTTTCTTACACATAACTGGTCAACATGCATCAGTACAATCAACTCTTGCAACCCATATGAGAATTGAGACAACACACACACACACACACACACACACACAATACTTATTTGGAGGCAGCTAAACCCACCACAAACTCCCCATTTGCAGCATCTGCTCCAGATGGAAAGTAAGAGTTGGGGATTCAAATTATTCTCTTCTTAGGAACATGATCTCAAGATGGCACGTTGTGAATGGAAGTAAACAAGAGGGATCCTCCTTCAGATGCTGGCAGTCCATGGGCAATTTTTTTCTTTTTAAAAAAATAAATAACTGCTGGGTTTGTCATGTTAGATACTACACTGAGGCAAAGCCGGTTGTTCGAACACCAAAACAAAAGGGGTGCCACTGTGTAGACCAGGTGGACATCAAAAAGCTGACAGGGCCTCGGATGGAACGGAAATAATCTTTCTGAGAAAGTACTTCACATTCTAGCCATCCAGGAGAACACTCATCCTTCTGTATGGAAACCGGCGCTCTATTCAGAACTTCCTTTCAAGAATACTCCAGTTGGTTATGTGGTATTTGTACGTAGCACTTCTTGCATAGTCTAAGAAGCAGAAAATTTTGCCTCAACACCAGTTATTTCCCCCAGTCTGGTGCTATGTGACTACAATCAGTGTAATCTTAAACCACCCTCGGTCAAAAGGGCTCAAGGATGATAGCAACTGGAGTTCCCACATCAACAGAACCCAAAGCTGGAGGAAGACCAGAAGATACACACCATGCATGAAGGGCCACATGTCGATTCCTTACATGCTCACAAAGAGAACTGGACTTCTGCAAATATTCTATTAAGTGCAAAGACACCGCAAACAAGCAACAGATTGTACAGCTGGGGTAGTTCTTCACAAAGAGGAATAAGGGCTGCTAAAATACAAAATACACTGATTTTAAAAGCAACACGTAGAACTCAAGTGCTGTAGTCTTCGTATCTCAGACCTTCCTGGCATTTCTAACTGGGCTTCAAATAAACAACATCGTTCTGTCCTATTCAACCAAATTAAAAAATAAAAATAATTCACTTTGGACTGAAATACAGGACTTCATATAACCAAAAATGTTCCGTTTATTGACTTCTTTCTAACACTAAACATAAATCCCTCAAACCTATATAGCTCCTTCAGAGTGAATCGAGACTTATTAGACCTAAACTTTCGATTCTCTCCTTGCATTCTCAATTTGGTCTCTTATTTCTCATTCTGGACAAGCCGCAAGGAGTCCAATTTTTAATATTAGGACACAGAGAAGGAAGTGCATCACTCTAACATTCAACCCTAAGAGCCGAAATTGCGAATTGTCTTAAATACAGTATGAACTCAACTTGTATGCTTTCTTCCTTTTGGAAAGCAACATTTCTCCCCCCACTCCCCCGCCAACACACCAAAATACAAGCTACCCAGCCTCGGCTTTCAAATCTCTGGCATCTCTTTACATTTGCCCCCAAGTCAAGCTTAAAAGCCAACCCTTCTCTCAGCTCTCGCCCAGCAATTTGTGCTTATTTGCTTATTGGAAACTCTTCAAAATCAACAGGGCTTCATTCTGAAACCTATGAAATGGTTCAGCATAAACATATTGCTGTGCTGTTTGGGGACAAGTCACTTTATATCGGTGTACCTTAAGCAGGGATGAGTAACCTTTTTTTCCCCCCAGCCAAGGACTCTTTCTTTCTTCTAAAAGATATGCTTGGCCCAGGGATGGCAGGGTTATGGCTGGTGAAATGCCATCATCGCTAAGATGATGAACTCAACACGCTTAGCCCCTTTTTTCTTCCTGGAAAAGGGGAGGACGAGGAGGAGGAGGAGGAGTTGAGGCATCGGATGGCTCTTACAAATCCTTGTTTTCCCATCAGCAGAAGGGAAAAAACAGCCCTTTAGGAAGCAAGATGGAAAAATTTCCCCCACTTTATTTTGTTCCTTAATTATTCAACTTTTGTTCCTCCAATTATTATTTTTTTAAAAGCACAAATAAAGGGCTGAAAATTTGGCCTTGCCCACTGCAGAGGTGTTCTGAGGGCAATAAAAAAGGATGCAGGGGCTATATGTGGCGTGCAAAATACTGCCTTGCAGGTCTGTATTAGCCTTCCTTAAGCTGAATACGCCCGAAGAATTTCATCCCTGCAGCCTGTTCTTCAGGCCCTAGCCGTGCTGAGAATGACAACAGGTGTACATTCAGCACAACTGGAGAGCAGAAGGATTAAGGCTTAAATAAAAGTACTCTTCTCTTCCCCTTTTCAGTACCGCTCCCACAAACCAATCCACCACGTGCTCAGGGGTCCATCCAAATGCTGCTGAACTGACATCAACGAACTCTTTATGCCTTGGGAAATGAATCCTGCAAACTTGTCTTTTTCCTCCTTGGTTACTTTCCACATTGGTGATACTTCCATCAGAGCTGGTTTACTTTCTATCGATACACAGAATTCATTTTCTTTTATTCATCTTCATGGCCAGGACCCCAAATGACTCCTGCTCCTTTTCCTTTTTTTAAATTCGTGCAACAGGCAGGCACACTTGGGCACTTACTCTCTCTTTCACTCAGTCTCACTCACATACACTACACACAGAAACACACTTGAAGATTCTCCTCTCTCTGAAGCCCTTCCCCATTTGTCTCCTGTCCTGGAGGACAAGAAAATATTTCTTCTTTTTTTTGCCAGCTTCCCTTCCCACCCACCCCACCCCCCCTAAATAATGCTCAATAGCATTGATACTCAGGTATTTAATAAGCATCTCTGAGTCCCCTCTAAACAGATTGACACCTTGCCCCCCCGGTTCCCACCCACCCCGTCTCCCAAATCCAGGCTTCTGGCTCCATGCACACCGGTTAGTGGTCTTGACCCAAAAATACAGTCCGTGGGTTGATTTTTACCGTATCCTGGTGAAGAGGTTAAGAACTGAAACAGACTCCTAGGATTGAAGAGACAGAAAAGGAACCGTTAGCATTGCATTTCTTAGAAGTGTTTTAACAGAAGATCTCCAAATGGGATGTAATATCACCTGGAAATGTAAACATATTCTAACACTGAGAAAAAGCAGTAAAATAAAATAAAATGAAATAGAGAACATACATACATACATACATACATACATACATACATATTAGAGTTACAACCCCCGGTATGCCCAAATAGATCTATACTAGTCTCCCTTTATTTATTTATCAGCACAAATACAATATATATAGGCTGGAATACTGCAATGTGCTCTACATNTCGAGCGCGCTTTTGTGGACCGCGGTTTTGACGGGTCACGAATAATCAAACAGCTTTAACTGGTTTGTGGATTGAACTGTTCTACTCACTATTAGAATACAGTGACATATTTGGAATTAGGCCTCAAGACCTAAGAGAAATTTGCTATTACTAGAATTTGTTTGGAATGTGAACATTTCTATTCTTGTCTTTCCAAGTTTTTACATTTTCCACAGCTGTTCGTTTTTTTTTTTTTTTAAATTAAACCACGTACAGGTAGTCCTCGTGTTATGATTGTCATTGAGCCTGGAATTATGGGCATGACAGTCGTTAAATGCCTTTTGATTGTGTCATGTCTTGACTGTGCCTGATTTTACAAGCTTTTTTACAGCAGCCGTTAAGAAAACCCATTTTCACCAATGGGAGGTTTTTGGCGGAAGCTGCCAAAAATAAGCTGAAAATCATGGTCACGTGGGGCACTACAAACAGCTATTAAGTTTGAGCCGCTTGCCAAGCATCCAAAATGCGATCATGTAAATGGTGTGTGTGTCCATCACAACGCCCGAAAATGGGTTGTAAATGGTTCTGGGGAGGTCTCTCAGAATTTCAAACAGCAATGTTTGAAGTTAAGTGTATGTTATATTGCATCCCTCAAAAGGGTCATCAAAGCAAATATCCAATAATAACAACGATAAACTAGAAATAAACATTATAAAAACTGCACGTTATTTTCAGAAAGGAATGGGAAAACATAAAATTAGACCAAGCTGCTTCTTCACTGCACCTTGTTGTCATTCCCACCAGATGCCAGGAGCTGGTGATCTGTGGACCATTTCAGCCCACACACTTCCTGTCTATGACCTTGAAGGCGCCGTTCGGACTGCAAGGGAGGCGTCCGGATGTCTCTCTGGAGGATCATCCGGTCCCGACTGCCAGAAGATAGCTGATCTGCATTCCATGCCAGAGCACCTAGAACAGAGGAGTGTTGTGAAAACCACGAAAAACGTCATTGTTGGGAAAAATCCTTTCTGAAGAGAAGTTATGTGTATACATTCTAGGGCACCTCCTGCTGCCTGTGAAATGTCATGCTCAGAGCCGTTCTAATCACCAGACAAAACAGCCATTTGCCAGAGGAAAGTAATGTCAGAAATGGTTGGAATTAATACTATTTTTAAGATAAGAACTAGGTTTGGGTTTCCTAAAACAATTCTCTTCCAGTGCAATATCCAGCATATGACGCCAGATTTCATAATTTCATCTTTAATAATGAAAGAAAGTTAAAAAACAGAACTGCCCCGAGACTATGAAGGAATTACAGTCTTGAAAGGAAACTGAATATCCCGGTTGTTTAAAGCTAAGAAGTGATTAAATTTCGCATATGTCACCTCTTCTGAAGCGTCTTCCAATCACTAGAGCCTTCTTTATCCAGAAAGCTATTGCTCACCTATTCCAAACCTTGTTTTGACTAGGAACAGCAACTCTACAGGTTTCAGGAAGGTTTTTTTTCCCAATTGCTGCGTGAAGAGCCCTTTTCTACTTACTATATTTTTCAGACTATAAGACGCACCGGTGTATAAGATGCACCAAGATTTCGAAGAGTTAAGTAAGAAATAAAAGTCTTTGTCCTCCCTGGCCCCCAGAAGCATTCTGCAGGCTTCAGCAGGGCTGGGGAAAGGCAAACATGCCTCAGTTTTTGCAAAAAAGTCCTTTATTTTACTGTTTTTTGCAGAAATGAAGGCATTTTTGCCTTCCCCCAGTACTGTTGAAGCCTGCAGAGTGCTGCTGGGGACTGGGGGCAGACAAAAACGCCTCCATTTTTGTGAAAAACAGCCTATTTTTTTTGCAAAAATGGGTGCTTCAGGCGGCCAAAAATGGCTGTGAGTATAAGACTGGACTACTGCAATGCACTCTACATGGGGCAGCCCTCCAAAGAGCCTTCGGAGACTTCAGCTCGTCTAGAATGCAGCTGCGCGAGCGGTTGTGGGTGCACCTCGGTACACCCANTCCCAGTAAGGGTATGGCTAGCTGATGAGAGCTAAATAGCTTGAAATAGATCTATACTAGTCTCCCTTTATTTATTTATCAGCACAAATACAACGGTATATATATAATATAATATAATATAATATATAATATAATATAATATATATAAACTCACACATATCACACACATATACATACGCACACTCCCATACAAAAATACCCATATAAATTCGTAGGAACATTTCTACTATAGGTGGCCCTTGTGCAATGGCCATTTGTTCAGTGACCAAACTCACAATGCTGTTGAATGAGTGGTAGTTACAACTTAACAGTCATCACAACTTCCCTGTACTCAGTCATTTTACCAGCTTCCCACAAGCAAAGTCAAAGCGGAAGCTGGCCGGAAGTCGCAGTCACGTGAGGTCCTTGTTTAATGACTTGCACAGTTCTCACTTAATTAGGGCAACCAGAACTGCTGAAACTGCTACCGTTCAGCAGCACAGTTGATGTGGTTTTTTTGACTTATGACAAGGTTGCTTAATGATAAGTTTCTGGTCCCAATCAGCAACATCAAGCAAGGGCTACCTGTATTCCCATCAGCTGAGTATTATAGGTTCTTTCATGCAGGCACATAGAGCTGCAACACAACAACAATCTCTCTCCTAATCCAGAACAACCCAGTACTGAATTTCTAGCCCTGGTATCTGGAAGTCTCTAAAAAGCCAGGCAACAAAGTATGAGAAAATCAGCCCTTGTCTACTACTAGTCCCAAATTTTAATATTCAGAGGAATCCTGAATTTGAACCTGAAGCCTCCACCTAGTCATCGGGACTAATAGTAATAGTACCCTCTCTCTCAGGATGGGCATGTTCCAGGTCCCTTCCCTAAATGTTGCTTAGAGTGGAAGATAGGCAGCATGCCTTCTCAATGGCCAGGGGTGGGTTCCTGCCAGTTCTAACAGCTTCTATAGAAGAAGTTTCACAAATCTACAGTGCTATTTAGAACCGGTTCCAGCTCCCTCCCCCCGCCCATCATCAAGATGAAGAGCAAGAGGAGGAATTCTGGGAGTTGAAGTCCACAAGTCTTAAAGCTGTCAAGTTTGAACACCCCGGGGGGGGGGGTTTCTAAAGGGTTAGGGGTGCAAGGGTCTTGTAATTTGACAGCTTTAAGACTTGTGTGCTTCAAATGCCAGAGTTTCTGAGCCAACATTTTGGTTGCTAAGAGCGTTGTTAAGTGAGTTTCACCACATTTTACAAGTTGGCCACGCCCATCCAGTCATAAGACTGCCAGGCTACTCCCACCCGGTCACATGGCCAGCAAGCAACTCCTACAAAGCAGGCCACACCTACAGAAGAAGTTCTAAAAAAATTTGAAACCCACCACTGCCCCCTGTCCTTTTCGAACCCCCTTCCAGGGCTCTATTCTCATAGCCTTCTGAAAAGCCTTGAGCCCTGGCTTTTCCCATAAGCACTGGGGTAGTGTAAGGCTGGAGCCCAGTGAAGTTCTTTATGGACGCGTAGGAATATTTCATGGCACTGGAAATTTCTGTGCAGGATTTTACGTTTTTTTTTTTTTTTAAAAATCATTGTTTTTACTGTCACTTGTGAGCCACCCGAAGTAATGCTGCATAAGATGGGCAGCTACATAAACCTTTAAAACAAATGAACAAGTTATTGACTGCTGTGCTCCACCTCTCATGTCTTAACTCCACAGAGGCTGCCAATTAAAATCAAAACAGGAAAACAGCTGGACTGGGTCATGGAGAACACCTCACTCCATGTTCCCACCTGTTCTTGAGAACCAGTCATATGCCGATGACAGGGGTCGACAACCTTAAACACTCAAAGAGCCATTTGGACCAGTTTCCCACAGAAAAGAAAACACCGGGAGCCACAAAGGTCCTAACCAGAAGTCCCCATTCAAGTGCGGTTCCTCCACCATAGAGTCTCCTCCTAGCGTGGCGTCCTTTTTCCTCTATCTGTCCTAACCAAAAGCCTTATCAATTGTAGAGCCGAACGGAAAACCCGCTCCTTGCCATAGAGTCTCCTCCTGGCGTGCCGTACTTCTCCTCCCCCCAATCAGAAGGTCCTCTCAAAATTGTGGCACTGACCGGCGACAGGGAGACACAACAGAGGGATGAAAGAGCCACATGCGGCTCCAGAGCCGCGAGTTGCTGACCCCTGGCTTATGAGAAATCCCTAGCACCCTTCTGACAGAGACAACAGACGTTAAGGAGGAAATTCTCCAATACAATCCACTCACTGTTCTTCCTGGAAGAGAAGCATGATTTCTTTATAGCCTACTTTTTCAAAATGTGTAAATTCTTCTAAGACAGCCTTCAAATATGTGCAAAATACAACAGTGATGCTAAGTGACTTATCTGAACTTCTGAACTGGCACTACATTGGAATGGAATTCATAAATCTCCAGAGGTACCTATCTAGCCACTTACATGGCAGAAGATAAAAGATTTTTTAAAGACAGACAGCAGCTGAGTTTGAGGCTGAAGCTTTCTTTGTCTTCAGTCATTAAGATGGTACATTGCTTGTAAGCCTCATCTCATTATGTAGCACTGGAAGTCAGCATTAGCTTCAAAGATGATTGCTCAAGTACATGAAAAAAAAAACACACAAAGATTTTACCTTGGTAGAGCGAGTTTTGCTGAAAACATTCCAAAACCTCAGTGTCTCATCCCCGGCTCCTGTCACAATGGCTTCTCCATCTGGTGACATTGCCTATAAAATGAAAGGAGTTGAATTTCTTACCAGATAGACCCATCCACAGAGCACTGTTTACCCCTTTCACCGTGTGTGTGTGTGTGTGTGTGTGTGTGTGTGTGTGTGTCTGTGTCATTCTCCTCAGTTCACGGTGGCATGTCTGAGGAAAATGATTAATACTATTTATTTGATTCATATGGCAACCCATCTTATTTATGTGACTTTGGGCAGCTCTCAACAATAATTCAGTAAAAACAGGTTAAAAACAATAGACGGACATATAAAAAGTATTCATCAATTTTAAAAAAAACCCCAGAAAATCATGATCAGCAGAATTCACCCAATATCAGTTCAACGTAGTCACTGTAAGAGCTTACCACTATCAGTAGACACCACTACCACCCTCCAGCCCCACCCCCGGCATGGCGGCAGAGCCATGTTTTCAGGGACTTCCTAAAAGGCAGAAGGGCAAGAGCCAATCTAAGTTAGAGGGGATGATGTTCCACAGGGTGGCTGCCATGGAAGAAAAGGCTCTTTCTGGGTCTCACCAGATGAAATTCTTTTGCAGACAGGACCCGTAACATGCCTCTCATGATGGAATACAACACAATAGCAGAGTTGGAAGGGACCTTGGAGGTCTTCTAGTCTAACCCCCTGCCTAGGCAGAAAACCCTATACCGTTTCAGACAAATGGCTATCCAACATCTTCTTAAAGACTTCCAATGTTGGGTAGATGCAACTGGAGAGAGGTGTTCAAATAACCTGGTTTTATGCTATACAGGACTTTGTATGTCGGAACAGGCACTCTGGATTGAACTCACAAGCTTATGGGGAACCAGTGCAGCTGAATCAGTGCAGCGGAGTATACTGTTGTGCTGATTGAGGTGCGCATAACTGCACACGCTGCTACATTCTGTACCAATTGCAGCTTCTGGATGCTCTTCAAGGGTAACCCCATGTGGAGTATATGATAGTAATCCAATCGAGAGATGACCAGGGCATGAGTAACTGTGAGCAGAGCCAACTGGTCCAGGAATGGGCACAACTGGCACATTAAGAAGGAGTAGGCCACAGCTGTCACCTGCTCTTCAAGCAGGACCATGAGCCCAGGAGAAGCCTCAGATTCCATAGTAGGTCTGTTTGAGGCAGGGTCACCCCCATCCAGACCCAAAGATGGTAGGCTCTTGAAATCCAATGCCACTCAGTCTTGTTAGTTGAGCCAAAGCCTGTTGTTCCCATTAAGACTTATTGTTCCAGACTTCAGAGAAAAGGACTCCAACAACATTACTTAATTTGCTAAGGATAGAGATATATCTCCACTGGGTATCATAAACACAGTGATGATATCGCCAGCAGATGACCTTATGCAGCAGTTTTGTGTAGCTATTAAATGAGATTGGGGAGAATATCAAATCCTGCAGAACCTCACAAAGCAGGGACTGAGGACCGGGGGGGGGGAACTTGCTCCTTATCAACACTGACTGGAACTGATCCTAGAAGAAGGAGGAGAACCAAAACAAGACAGTGTTGTCCCCCAGGGGCACCAGTACAAGACACTCTCAATACCTATTTCTGGAACCAGAGCAGGAGATATCATGGTTGATGATATTGAAGGCAATCAAAAGGTCAAGAAGAGCAAGGATGGCTGCATGACGCCCATACTCACCAAGTAAAGGACTCTGTAGGAATGCCCAGTTAGCTTTGCAACCTGAGTCAAGGACGGGTACTTCCAAACGAGGATCTGGTTCTGGGAGTATCCATGGGTGCTCACCTACAGAGAGAACACTCTTCAGCTCTTAGTTCCAAACAAAAGGCAAGCACGGAGACTGAGGAAGGGGGTCCCAATTCTCATTTGACCATTGAGGATGTTGATGGTAACCTCTAAGTAGATTTTCCGTAGAAATCCTTATCAGTTAAGGTGGTTAAGAAGTATTAATTGACTCGTTGTTGTTGTTTGGTTGCCAAGTAATGCCCCACTCTCTGCAAACCAGCAAACCCCCACCCCCCCGGTCCTTCACTGTCTCCCCAAACCCATGTTCACTATGAGAATGACACTATCTATCTCCATTCCACGCTATCCCCGTCTCCTTCTGCCTTCAATTGTTTCAGCCAAGGAATTATTTGGTCTCTTTCATGATGGGAGAGAGATCAAGAGATGCTTTACAAGCTGATGAAGGAAAAGTTTATACAAGTGGGAGGACCCAAAATAAAAGCAAAAAACAGCGTTTTTATTCAGCTCCATCTTTAGTTCAGAATCCCCCTAATTATGTCACTTCTCCCATAAACTGATGCATCGTTCACAATAGCCCTGCAAGGTAGCTTGGAATGAGAGGACCGTGTTCAAATTATCAAGGAACATAGCAGAACACAGGCATTCTCTTTTAAAATGTGTAAATTCTGCCCTAAGCCCACTAACAGCAGCTAAGGGCCCCTGACTGCTTTCGAAGAGACAAATAGCCCTACTCTAGCAGAATGATTGCTATTCCAGCATCCAGTATCTTCTGCATTGGTGACAGCTGACGAAAAGAATACAATACTTTATTTGGCCAAGTGTGATTAGACACACAAGGAATTTGTCTCTGATGTAGAAGCTCTTAGTGTCTTATGCGCAAAGCAACAGAATCATCATCATCCCAATAAAAGGTGGTAGTAAAGAAGATAATAATAAGGATGTAGTAATACTACAGTCATTCTACATGGTTAAATATTCATACCGTGTTTCCCCCAAAATAAGACACTGTGTTATAGTAATCTTTGCTCCAAAAGGTGTATTAGGGCTTATTTTCTGATTAGATCAGGAGGGTCAAACTGGCGGCCCACCAGCTGGATATGTCATGCACCCTAGCTCCGCAAAAAAACATTGTGATACGTCACATGATGGCAATGTGACACGGTGAATTTGACCCCCTTGGGTTAGATCTTATTTTGGGGAAAATAGGGTTCGTCCATCTTGACTGGGGCTTTATTTTTGGGGTAGGGCTTATATTATAAGCATCCTGAAAAATAATGCTAGGGCTTATTTCCCGATTGAGTCTCATTTTGCAGGAAACACAGTAGACATAAATTATTTCTCAAAGTTTCCAAGTTCAACATGATATTCCCCGTGTCACATTGAATTCTGCTAAAAAAAAAACCACCAACAACTGGGGATCCTTCTCCTACGCCTCAA